AGAAAACTTGTGTAAAAATACAATCTGCATCCCTTTCCCTCCTCAAATCAGCAACATTTGGAGAACTGGATTTTCTGCTGAATCCATCACGCAAGCTAAAAACTGGAATTTTCTTGAGATGTGTTTTGCAATTGCATGAATTTATGTTATTTGATGTTTAATCTAAATCATTTCGGGCTGTTATATTTTGCCTTGTGAACACACATCCAGATTGCTGCAGTCTGCTAAGGACAAAAGGGGAAAGTGTTAATTTGAGTACAACCAGAAAACTCAGAACACATTTAAAATAAATTCACATCTACTTCTATTCAACTCCGAGATTTAACATATCTCAGTTAAATCCCCTTTACTGAGCCATGTCATGATTTCTGTTCTACCTTAATTGGGCTGCTCAGTCCTCCACACTCTCATGCTAATTGCTTATTCTTATTTCCTTGTCTTCACCTTGTCCTTTAAGACCTTATTATAACGTTTTATTACAACCATAATGTTTTCATGTTACTTTAGTTTATTTGTTGAACAGTTTTGTGTCAGACTATAGGAGCTTTGCTGTGACATGCAATGAAGGTGTGTTGCTGATTTTGTAACTTGACTTGATTTGGGTTAGTGCTTGTTGCATTATATTAGTGAATTCCTCAAAAAAAAGCCCAAATGTGCACAAATAACCTGAGCAAAGAAATGATGAAGCAGTGCCTGTCCTGAAGTTTTCTCTTTTATTATTTTACTATGTCAAATGAGCAATGCCTGATACAGGTTTGCAATTCTTATATTGGCCTAGATGTTTTGTTTCAAGGCTATTCCTGTTTGTGTCTAATACACACTGTAAAAAAAGTCAGTAAATTTACGGTAAAAAAAGGTAAAAAACCAACAGTTTTTGACCGTCGTATCCAAAAACATTGCATTACCGTAGAAATTACATGGAACTACCGTAAGTCGAAACTGCAAAGAAAGTCAGTAAATTTACGGTAAGAAATGGTAAAAGACCAACAGTTTTTGACCGTCGTACCCAAAAACGTTGCATTAGCGTAGAATTACATGGAACTACCGTAAGTCGAAACTGCAAAGAAAGTCAGTAAATTTACGGTAAGAAATGGTAAAAGACCAACAGTTTTTGACCGTCGTATCCAAAAACATTGCATTACCGTAGAATTACATGGAACTACCGTAAGTCGAAACTGCAAAGAAAGTCAGTAAATTTACGGTAAGAAATGGTAAAAGACCAACAGTTTTTGACCGTCGTATCCAAAAACATTGCATTACCGTAGAAATTACATGGAACTACCGTAAGTCGAAACTGCAAAGAAAGTCAGTAAATTTACGGTAAGAAATGGTAAAAGACCAACAGTTTTTGACCGTCGTATCCAAAAACATTGCATTACCGTAGAAATTACATGGAACTACCGTAAGTCGAAACTGCAAAGAAAGTCAGTAAATTTACGGTAAAAAATTGTAAAATGCCAGCAGTTACTGACCAGAATATTCACAGCATTATACTGCCGTAGAAAATACATGGCATTATCATAACTGAATAAATATATATCCTAAATAATTGTGACAGTCACGAATGTAGAAAATACAGAAATATAGTGTAAAAATATAAGTAATTGTAAAGTTCTTAAAAAATTGTAATATTGCCAGCAGTTAATTACCCTAAACTTAACAGTAGCAATCAGCCAAAATTACAAATTTTGCTGATGTTTAGATCTACAATGTAAAAGCGTAAACAAGACTGCAAAAGAATTTTTTACAAAGAACAGAATGCTGGTGTGATATTCTGGTTTCTTTTTTAATAATGCCTTTAATACACCAAACTGAAATCTCAGCAGTAGACCAGGCATCGATCTGGCGATCCACCGATTGCAAAGCAAACTCCTACAGCCAACGCCACCATCACTTATGAGAGTATTTGATCATTAACATTAAGAGAACTGTATGTTAGCCCCTCTTGCTTGAATGAAGCTGAAGTTGGTTTCCAATTGCTGCTTCCAATTTGGGAAATGGCTAAAGGGCAATTCCACCTAATTTTTCACTACAATCAGCATCTTTAATTTACTCTAGCTAAAAAACTACAACACCTAGACTCTTCAAATCTGGACTAGATTATTCTCAACTCATATCAGAATATTTAAAACCAAGTGTGGGGTTTGTAAAACCTTTATCTGATTTGTGAAACTTCAATAAAGAACAATTCTAGTGTTATCCAAAATCATACAAGTTGTAAAGTCACCCATCATTGAAGTTTCACAAATCCCACACTTGGTTTTAAATATTGTGCTATTAGTAGAGAATAGTCTAGAGCAGGGGTCCCCAAACTTTTTCCTGCGAGGGCCACATAGCTGTTCCTTTCTCTGCTTGGGGGCCGGTCTTAGTTTTTGGAGAAAGATACCTTAGAAACTTATTGTCGGCGGGGGGTGGGGGGGGTGGGGTGCGGTGTGCTGTTCTGTCTTTGAAACTGTCGGCGGGGGGGGGGGGGGGGGGGGGGGGGGGGGGGGGGTATTGCTGACTACGACACATTCGCGGTCGCTTTTAGATAGATTTTTACCCAGAATGGAAATGGAAAAAACCGTGAGTGAAACGGTGACTGGGACTGACTAGTATATATTTGAGGGAAAGTTAGTTTAACATCTGCTCAAGAGCCCCCTGGTGGTTGAAGAAAAATCCACAAACCAGAAAATACAATATATGAAAAAAATACATTGATTGCTCTCTGGTATGAGGAGGCAGGCCGGATCCAGCATTGCCAGACCAAATGACACAGGCTGTAGTTTGGGGACCCCTTGTCTAGAGAGTTTTTCATTTTGTTATTGTGATAAATAGCAGGGTTTACAGTAAATGGAGACTGTTATTTGTCATGTAAACAAATAATTATCTAGTTTGTATTGCTGCTTGATCCTTCAGCATCAGCAGCAAGATTCTTTTAACTCTGTTCCTGTAGTGGTGTCCTGAACTCAACACAGTAAAGTCACTGTGCTAACTAAGGTTGCTAACTAGGGTGCTGAGAGCCCAGTAGGCCTGGTCCTTGTCAAGATGCTGCTACTGTCTTTGAAATCAAATTTCTGCTATTTTTGCACGTTCAGGAGGAGAAGGGCAACACATCACAGGTGAGTCCCTTTCACGGTTTTAACTGAAGTTAGCTAACTTTAACCAACTGACAAAGAAATGTGTAGTTTCTGAGCCATGCTGTTTATGTATATGCACTGCAGCTATATATTTTTACTATACGGAACATTTAATCTTCACAGATGCAACACTTCCATTAATGATTCTGTAGGAACGGCTGCATAGATTATATTTCTGGTCTACTTTAGACTACATGTGCTTAAAGTTATTGTTAATGGCAGAAGCAACTTTTTCCAAGTTTGGTTCAATAATTAATTTGAATTACTTTGAGTGTGAAATGTTCATGCATGCAAGTTAAATCTCTGAAGAACATGTTAGCTTTTGTTTCAATACTTTGGTAATACTTAGAAGTATAAAGCTTGGCATCAGAGATATTATTTAATATTTTCCTTTGACGTCTTGACTCTCACCCCCAAAATACTTGCACTAAAGTCACTGGGTCCATGACAGTTGAAGGATTTTAAAATAAGAGAATTTAAATATTAATATTTTACAGCTTTTCTCAGTTTGGGTGCATCTCTCAGAACAGAATTGAAATTCCTAAAACTACCTGTTCAATCTTGAAATTACTGTGTCACTTCTGCACATCAAAAAATTTGTTTTGCAAGTTTTGCTTTTGTACATCATGTAGCTGGTTATGTACACTTCTATGCTTTTATAATTGTAATTTGCTTTTATCGTCTTGATCAAAATATGTTAACCCTCCTGTTGTCCTCGGGTCAAAATGACCCGCCACTGTGTTAACCCCCCCCCCCCCCAAAATCCCCAAACATGTAATTTTTTTAACTTGAGATTTTAAGACTTTTCCTAGATTGGCCCAGACAATAGAAAAAGTTCAGTGTTGCTTTTAGTCTCATTTCCATGTAAGCTGTACAAAAAAAGGTACAAAGATGGTCTTCAGGTCAAAATGACCCGTGAGGCAAATGGAGTTGAAATCAAGGTCACAGAGTTATTTACAAACCATAAAATGTTACAAAGTTTTAGTTGTGTCTCAGATCAATCAGTAGCAGAAGTAAGCAGAGAGTGGAAGGCCAATTTTCCGAGCCACAATGCCACTCAATCTCTTTCACACCTACTCAAGACTGATGCGATTTGATGACCGTGAATCAAGACCAGCAAGATGTATGACAGACAAACTTGCAGCCATAAGAGAGGTATGGGACAAGTGGGTGGAGCGGTTACCCTACCTCTACAATCCAGAGCCTGATGTAACAGTGAGATGAGCAACTGGTTCCATTTAGAGGTAATCTGTTTTCATATTTGTAATAAAAGTGATTTTCACTATTGATTTCTTTGACTGTTTTCTGTGACACTGATACTAATCACTGATGCTAATGTCTTTTGTCCAAAGGTTGTTGTCCTTTCCAGCAGTATATGCCCAGCAAGCCAGCAAAATATGGGATCAAGTCATGGGTGGCTTCCGAATCAAGCTATGCTTGGAAAATGCAAGTCTATACTGGGAAGTCAACCAGTGGATGCCCAGAGAAGAACCAGGGGTTGCGAGTTGTGCTTGATGTGACAGAGGGACTGAGGGGTCACAATGTGACATGTGACAATTTCTTCAACTCTTATGAACTCGGACAGCAGCTCCTGAAGAGGAAGATCACCATGGTTGGTACAGTTCGAAAGAACAAGCCTGAGCTCCCACCTGCACTGCTTGGGTCAAAGGAGAGAGAGGTCTTCTCCTCAAAGTTTGCCTTCACACCCACCACCACTCTAGTTTCCTACCTCCCAAAAAAAACAAGAATGTAGTTCTTCTGAGCACACTGCACAAAGACGGCGACACTAGTGACCGTGAGGACAGGAAGCCAATCATTATCCTGGAATTCAACCGAAACAAAGGAGATGTGGACAACCTAGATAAGGTGATTGGAGCCCCTGGTCATCTTCCACAACATCATTGATGTGTCCTCCTACAATGCCTTTGTGATTTGGATAGAGATCAACCCAACCTGGATGTCTCATAAGCACAACAAGAGGAGGGTGTTCCTGGAGCAGCTAGGAAAGGCACTTGTAACTCCACTCATTGAAAGAAGGAAGCATGTCCCCCGCACAGAAGCCTCAGCAGCAGTTGTGAAAGCTATTCAGAGTGCAGCAGCTCCTGATCAACCTGAGGATCCATCTACCACAGCCACTTCCCCAGCTAAGCCAAGTAAGAGGAAGAGATGTCAGTTCTGCCCTCGGACTGTAAAACACATACTGTGTGCTGCAGGTGTAAGAAATATATCTGCAAAGACTGTGCACTTGCATACTGCCCTACATGTGCCAATTAGTTGAATGGGTTATGTTATTTTTCATATTTTTGTATTGTACATCCTCTTGTTCACTGGAGAAAAGTAAAAGAAAATTAGTCACTGTGATGTATAAAAATGCATTCGAAACTCATTTTGCACATTTTTTTTCTTAAGCTATAGAAATTCAAGTGGAGAGGGAAAACTCAAGTATTCACACATTTTGTGGTGAGTGACAATATACAAGATAGAATTTGGTGTTTAAAATTCAATTAAGCTGCTTATATTGGGGGTTTAGTGAAGACGGGTCATTTTGACCCGGAGGATAAAGGGTGTATACAGAAAATGAGGACAACAGGACAACAACGTGTCAGTGTTGAATTCTCAACTTCCAAAATAGCATCAGTTCATTGTGTAAGTCTTAACATGCATAAGTCTTAAAGTTGTCATAATGTGAATCATATATTAATTAATTTATATTCTATTATTTTCTAAATCTGTCCTGAATTGGTAAATTGCTCCCAAGTGAGTCCTGAGTTTCTCTAACAGGTCAGTGTATGAACCATTAGCTCAACCAACGATCAACCAGTTTTCTGAAACAGATTGGAGGTGCATCTTGTGAACCATCAGTTGGCAACATTATGCTCTATATAGTCAGAACACAACACAATGTTACATGTCTGAGAACTGATGAACAAGTATCTGGACAGAGTGAACAGCCAGAGAGAAGAAGAGGAGTGAGGCTGAGGAGGAAATAGTTGGGAGGAAAGCAGAAGAAGAGTCAGAAGAGGCTGAGGACATCTGCCAGTTTCCATCAGTCCAACATCAGGACATGGCTGAGACCCACAACATGACGCTGATGGAGGTCCTCCCACCCTACTGTTCATTCCTTAACCCCACTGAGGAAAAAAGATCCTCAGTGGAGTTAAGGAACAAAGTGACTATGGAAATTAAAATGTAATGTAATTTCTACAGCACTGTACAGTTTTCCTTGAGGAGATTGTCCTGTGGCTCCTTTTCTACTTTTTTTGTTCTCTGCATTTCTGTCTTTTTCTTTCTGAATCACCAAGGCATGGTCCATGAATAAATTATAGCAAAAGCGTAAATCAGTGTTTCTCAATCCTGGCTTCAGCGTCACCCTGTCCTGCAGGCTTAGGTATTTCCCTTCTGCCACACACCTGAATTGTATCTCTGGATGATTAACAAGCTTCTGCAGTACTTGATTGTCATCCAATCATTTGAATCAGCTGTTCTGGAGTAGAGGCACATCTAAAACATGCAGAGCAGGGGGTGGTGAGGAGCAGGGTTGAGAAACACTGGCGTAAATGATCCTTTTGTAGTCTCTTCTCATGACTAATCAATTTGACTGTCTTATCTGTACATAGAGAGACTATAACTTATAGTGATGGGCAAGTGAAGCCTCATGAAGCAATGAAGCTTTCCAACGCAAAGTGTTGAAAAAAGTTCATTACTCGATGCTTCATTCATCTCTCACTAGTGACATCTGCTGGTGAAACTGTAACAGCCTGATTACTCAGTTGGATCATACTTCCAAATATTAGGAAATGCAATATTGTCACAAAGTTTTCATCAAACTCATGTTTAGTAAGAGGAGAGTCCTATTTAATTATCATGTTTTAATGATTAAAATGATTTGTAGCCAATCTAATCCTTGACCATCAGTGGTTTTCTTTTATGTCATGGACTTATTAGACAATGAAGATATGTGTTACTTTAATGTATTGAGAACTGAGTGACTGTTGCTGCAGACTCTGTATACTTTGAGCTTGAAACTTGCTTCCTTAAAGACAGAATTTGTTTAAAATCATCTCTTCCTGGGAGTTCTAGTTCTGATTCTTAATATTAAGTTACACATAGAGTTTGCCTCTTCTAATGGCTTTTAGTCTGGTTTTGATGTGTGATTCTGATGCATCTCCTGATTAAACAAAAGAAAATATAGAAATTTCTGGATTTTAGGTTTAATTGTTTTTATTTAGGAATAGGACTTTTTTCACTGTTTCAGGTTGTGAGTGTGATCTGTCATCTCATAATACTCCCACATATGAGAGGTTTTTCTCTTTTTCGACAGCTCCATTTCAACCACTGCTGATGAAAACAGTTCTGCTGATACTAAACCACCTACTACAACCCACGATAAACAGGATTCATCGCGCTTTTATTTTTGAAAACCGACACGCAAAATGAAGCAGTCACGTGACCAATGCAATGCGAGGCCTCGTTTGTTGCCAGTCACGTGGTTTTCAACAAGACAACACAGGCCTCGAAGCGGGGCTTCATTGACACGCCCCCTTATTACTCGGTACAAGCCTCGAAGCCTGGCTTCAGATAGCCCATCACTAATAACTTATTATTTTGAGTCACTGATATGTTAACAGAAAGAATTTTAAGAGCTGAACTAAGGATTTTGAAAGCAAACAAATGCTATTTTTCCTGTTTCTACAAATTGCTTTGAGAAATGCGCTTACAGTTTTGTAAATGCCAACAATGACTTGAGAAATGCACCAAAAGTGACTGAGAAAAACTAACCTAGCATAAATTGTCTCAGCTGTAGGCTTATCAATTTGTTTGCCTGTATGAAAAGTGTTCACATTTACAGCTTTGTTTCTGCTAGCTTGCAGGAAATGTCACTTACATAAATGGTTGAAGACAACCTATTGGCCTTCATGAGACTCAGATAAATGGTGAGTATCTATTTCATAAATTGCCTAAAACAGTTATATTTGTTTTTATTTGTTTTTTGTTTGTGTATTTTGTCTGGTTGCAGACCAGAGGATCACACCTGTTGACAACAAACAAAGGTTTAACTACTGAATTTTCAGTCAGAAATGATCGCACCACCTGGTTGAAGTACCTGTGTCCATATGCAAGTCAACAAAGGTGAAACAAACATTTAAGCGAATAAGATGTTCATGTAGTGCATCTTTCTAACTTTTTCTTTTTGTTTTCCAGCAGAGAGGAAACACCCGATTGACAACATGCGAGTCTCAATTTCAACCTGTGACTGGGAAGACTACAACCATCCTGAGCAACGTCTGATCTCAGCGACTTGTGACTCTCAACCCAGAACAAGAATCCTTTTATCACCATTTTGTCTTCTACAATATGTTATCTCTTATGTGGACACATACTGTTTGTTTTGTTTCTGTTTTCCAGATCTCAGTAATACCGTGAGGAAACTGGACAGAAAATAGAATCAGTTCTTTTTTTAACTTGACTTTTTAAATAGAAATTGTTTCTTTAAGTGGATTACTCGTAATCTGTATTTTTGTTTAATTAGAAATTATTTTCTTTATAACTTTCTGTATAGAAATGCTTGACAAGTTACACTTCCTTGTGTGTTGTACTATAATTTGTATGGTAAAATTCTGGTAGGAACAGAGACCAGTAATTTACCATAGCCTAAGTTTTTTTTGGGGGGGAGGGTTTACAATAAAATGTCAATATATCATCCAGTCTGGATGTGTTTTTCACTCATGGAGATATTATGCCTCAGTCAGCATGACCGTATTTACTACGGCAAAACCACATTTTATTTTTTTTTTAATATTTTAGGAAGTACGGTATTTTACCGTATTTTAAAAATACGGTAGAATCCTGCATTTACAAAATACGGTAATAAACTGGCAGCTGTGGTTGCCAGAATTTTACCGTATATTAAAAATACGGTAAAATCCTGCATTTAGCAAATACGGTAAAAAACTGGCAGCTGTGGTTGCCAGAATTTTACCGTATATTAAAAATACGGTAAAATCCTGCATTTAGCAAATACGGTAAAAAACTGGCAGCTGTGGTTGCCAGAATTTTACCGTATTTTAAAAATACGGTAAAATCCTGCATTTAGCAAATACGGTAAAAAACTGGCAGCTGTGGTTGCCAGAATTTTACCGTATTTTAAAAATACGGTAAAATCCTGCATTTAGCAAATACGGTAAAAAACTGGCAGCTGTGGTTGCCAGAATTTTACCGTATTTTAAAAATACGGTGAAATCCTGCATTTAGCAAATACGGTAAAAAACTGGCAGCTGTGGTTGCCAGAATTTTACCGTATATTAAAAATACGGTAAAATCCTGCATTTAGCAAATACGGTAAAAAACTGGCAGCTGTGGTTGCCAGAATTTTACCGTATTTTAGAAATACAGTAAAAAACTGGCAGCTTTGGTTGCCAGAATTTTACTGTATTTTAGAAATACGGTAAAAAACTGGCAGTTTTGGTTGCCAGAATTTTACCGTATAAAGACGGTAAACTTCTGGCAACTCAGCTGCCAGTTTTTTACCGTAAAATGAGGCCGTTTTTTTTTACAGTGCATATATAGCACTCATTTCTTTTCATTGTTAGCTTTGAAGATTTTTTTAATGGATCACATGTTGTCATTGAAAATAAGCTTCTGTCAATCAATGTCAAACTGATTTTTTCTGCTCTAAGAATCCAGCTCAATTCTGTCAAGTCATATGCTAAGTAAATAACATCATAATAAAATCTGATCATGGTGTTGATTTGTGACATTTTTCTTTTGTGTTTGTGGTTCCTATTCATGCGTGAATGCTGGAACTGACAGAGGCATTGCAGCAATTCACCGGAGGGGTCCAGACTTCTTTGGAACATGTGGATCCACCTCCACACGTTAGCTGATGCCAAACCAGCAGAGCAATTCAATCATCAGTTGTGGGATAGCGCAGGCTGTAGAATCCATTTAATGCTGAGATTATCTGGAAACAGCAGGAGTTCAAATCTTTCAGCACTTTCTGTCTGAACATGTCCAAATAAATGTTTTTCAGTAAAAGTACATGTGATAAATTTTGGGCCTGGAAGGCACCTAATTAAACAGAGAAAACATTAAAACATTATTTGGTCTAAGATGCAATAAAGGCTACATTTTAGCTGTTTCACTGTCAACGTCTCTCACAAAGAAAATTACGAAAGCTTTTACATAGGCTGCTTTACAGGAACCAAGACACTGTACTGGCGGTGACACCTAGCCTGCTCTGGGGTCCATTGGAACACCATATTTTCTTACATCCCTGTTTGCAGTCTTTCATATACAGTACTGGCACAGCACACTGTAAAGTCTTATTTCTTCCTTCTCCTATACGTTCTGCTCTACGCCTCCGCTGTTCTAGGCTCACCCTCTGTTCTCAGCGCCTAACCTCAATCCATCTTCAGTAATATGGGTAATAGTGGTGCAGATTTTAACAGAACAGTTTTTGGTTAAAGCAATTCCAAAGAAATTTGTTTTGGTCAATTTTGGCTCCACTCAGCGGACAAAACCTGCATTGTTTTGCCTTAAGGAAGACTGCATTTCCCTTGAGGACCAGCGCATAGCTTGGTAAAATCCTATAAATAAATGTAATGTTAGGTTTGGTCATTTTACAGTAAACACACCTATAGATCCCAGCTGGAAGGTGCTGCGTTGCCTCAATATCAAGCCTGCACAACTTGCACGAATATACAGTCTCTCAGAGAAATTTAGTCACAGGGGAATCGTTTGAGTTTCACCTGGTTTAATTTAGTAAAAAGTCTTCTTTAAGGAATCTTTGGCTATCCGATTATTAATTAACTAAAAGAATAATTGACAGATTAATCGATTTACAAAATAATTACTAGTTGCAGCCCCATATTCAACCTTCAACTTGTCGCATGTCACTCTGCTGCCATCTATTGGACATTGCTTGCTATGAAATCAGCTTTTAGAAGCTCTTAATGTGGTATTGTAACAAAACACATTTGAGAATGAAACAGTTTTATTTATTCATTTTAACATTGAAACATTCTATGTCAAACATATATAAAATGCATGGTTTGTAGTTAATGGAAACTGTTTTTAGATTACAGAAAATTTTATTAGGCTCTCATTTAGGGTTTAATACACATTGTGCAAATGGGTCTCCTCTTAAAACAGAGAAAGTATAATCTACTTCTTTGAGTTAAATCAGCAGGGAAAAGGGATCATGATTGTTCCTATTTGGACTTAAAACTGATCCGATGATAGATATTTATTTTATACTGCCTATTTACAAAGTTATATGAACTGGGATATCCGTAGCTGACACACTGGAATTGTAGTTTTTCAAAATGTAAAGCATTAACAGATCCATTTGAATTCATCACAATCATCTGCAAAGCAAGTTAGACATCTGCCTCCTCATGAGAAGGGGTCCGACAATCATTTTGAGACAGCTATTATTTAAAACTTCTTTTCATACAACAAAAAAAAAGAATAAAAAAATAACTACATTAAAACACAAATAATTATTTATGAGATAAATATCCAAATATTTCTCCCCAAATTATCTGTAATTCCATAATAAAAGTGTTTCTAGGACTCCCTATAGTCGCAGAGAATAATCGTTTCAGGAAAAAAGTGCTTTCATCCCAAAGACAAAAGTCAACAAAGAATAAAACATAATTTAAGGGGGAAACCGTGAGCTGGATCTTTTACAATAAATCATGATTATTGAGATGTTTTGATTTAAAAGACAAGTAATGCAAATTGAATATTTATTAATGCATCTCTTCTTTATTTCCATGATTATATTAATACTTGTCAAAATCACAACCCTACTTTTCAAGACTGTGCAGAAACCTTGAGTCGGATCAGAGGTTCATCACTTGACTTATGCAGAACCCAAATGCACAGAGATGCCTGCTGGAGCAGAGACCTGTCAGAAACCGTCATGGAGGTTGAGGGGTGGAATTCAGCGTTGGCTGGTCACATTCAATAATGTACACCAAATGCTTTTTAATTAAATTTCTATGAGTAAATCTTATTCCTTTCCTTTTTCTTTTTTTTTGTCTAATTAGCTTAATCCATTCCAATTACACAGAATTATCGGCACAATAAAGCATAAGCTAAAGAAATACATGACTGAACCAAGGAAGCAGTTACTACTGATTGTGAAACCTCCTTCTATGTCTCCTTAAAGCGCTCTCCCATTTGAACATAACATCACAAACATCACAGCTGAATGCTTTTTCCCCAGTGTGGGTGATCATGTGTCTCGTTACATGAGACTTGTGATGAAATCTTTTCCCACATTCATCACAAGCAAAGTTCCTAGGTCTAGAGCTGACCTTGTGCTGTCTAGCGTGAACCAGCATGTGATACTTCAAATCAGACTTCCGGTAGAATCTCTTCTCACATATGGCACAGGGAAATGGTTTCACACCAGTGTGCCTTACGACATGTCGCTTCAGAGCTCCCTCTCGCGTGAATCTTTCCCCACAATGCTGGCAGGTAAAGGCCTTCACTCCTAAATGTGTCACTATGTGTGCTTGAAGATAGCTGCTCAGTCTGAAGCGTCGGTCACAGAAGCTGCAAGCAAAAGGTTTTTCTCCTTTATGAATCGTCATGTGCTGGTTTAGATTCCCCCTCAAACTGAACTTTTTCCCACATTTATCACACTGAAAGGGTTTCTCTCCTGTGTGGCGGGCCATGTGGCGCTTGAGGTGATACAGATAGTAAAACGGTTTACCACAGTCGTCACAAACTAATAACTTCTTCTCATCCAGGACTTGTTGTGAATCTACTTTTCGCTCTGTTGTAGAAAAATGTGCGTCATTCCAACAGTTTGAGGATCTCTCTCCTGACTGATGGTGCTTGGTCTCCCCCGTGTCTTCATGTTTAGATCCAGAAGCTGATGAGTGAACCTCACAATCATCATCTTCAGCGCTGACTTCAGTATCAGAGGAAGCTGAAGTCTTCTCTTCACCGCTGGTTGGAGCTTCCTCCTCCATTTTGTTTTCTTTTTTGATGTGTTGATGCTCTGATGAGTGAGGATTCTCATCATGGTCTTCAATCTTCACTGTGACAACGTTGAATGGAAAACTGTTGCCATCAGGCTCTCCCAGCTCAATAAGCGGCTCTCCATCTGGATCGTCTTCCTTCTTTATCCGAAGGACTGCTGGATTCTGTTGATCCAAACTAGAGCTCCACAGATCAGGAACCTCTTCTTTAACAGCGATTGCCTGCTGCTCAACTGCAGGACACACATAGACTTAAATGTTAATAATGTACTTTTTTTTTTCTCAGTTTGAATAACTTCATAAATATTTGCCACCTTTAGTGACAAAAGACACAATCTGTTAAAGATGGAAAGGTTCAGTCCTGCTTCTGGTGCACACTCAGGAACATCATCAGTCAAATAAATCACTTTTGGATAAGTAGAAAATATCCCTTTTTAAATTTTTTTTATTCCAGAAGCTCTTCATATGGTCACCGGAAACTCACAGGAATCTAAACAAGATGCATTTATTTGGGGAAAATCTACTGTTAATAAAGTGGAAGGCGAGTAATCCAGTTTGCATAAAGGAGCAATTTTAATCTGATGTAATATTAATAAAGAATAATCTTTAATCTTTGGCTTACCTTCAGCCTAAAAGCTGCCTAAAAAAACAACAAACTAATTGCAAACTCAGCTCTTCCTGGTTTGATACTTGGCATTCACTCAAAGAGGAACCTTACAAAATATGGATCTGCATGGCTGCCAACACCTAATTATCTTATCTATTTATTATCTACATTAGAGATCCATTTAAACACTGATTTTACCTTGGCTGCAAACTAGTGCTACATAAATAAAGATTCTTCTCTCTCTCTACACTGAAACCATGTAGGTTTTACCTATTTTACTTTGAGATTTGCTGTAATAAAATAAAGAGAATATTCATTTTAAGGCTTTTTTTAATAAAGGGGAAAACCATAGTGTATAGTGATAGCAATTACATATTTCCAGATATTTAAGACATTTTAATCTTTCTGTTAGTAATGATTGATATCTCTGACTGGGCATATCTGGTTGGAAATTACTGGACTTTTTTATTTTCCTCCATTTGCTGCAGGTTTCTATACAAAAATGTATAATATACATATATTTTTTTTATTAATTTACAGATCGCTCAAAAAGACATTCACCTTCATTGGAATATTTTGAGGTTTCTTCTGCAAACTTCATCCTCTTTGCAGAATTTGGTCTTCCATCGTTTTCCTTCCAAAGCCTTTTACCAATGTGTGCATCAGCCATCGGCTTATATCTGTTTTGACGTGTTGAAAAAGTAGATTTTCATCTAAAATATACATTAAATGTTTTTGTTTCCTTTTTCAAATATTCCATTTTTATTTTACCTATTGATCTGAAGAAGTTTCTGTGGCTTAAAGGTTCATCTGCTGACCGTCTTTGAACTGGAAGGAAAAACCGTCTGGCTGCTTTGGCTCCTATTAATGCCTGAGATGGAAGAAGATAACATAATTAGGATAGACAATTTAGATTTATATGAAAATAATAATTTATAAGAAAATGTGTAAAAAAAAAAAAAAAAATGTTTTACATCATAAACAGGCTTACCACACCAGTCTGAGGTAGGGTCTTTCCAATCACATCCCTCCATCCACTCCACTCTAGCAATAATTAAATCTAAGGCACCTGCAGACATATTATTCATATAGAAGTTTGATAGGTTATTCTTCCCCAAGTTCTAAAAATTAAGAAAAAAATCAGAAGACCTGAAGTTTCTGTGAAATTAACCCTCACTTTAAGATCACATCTGTTTCAGGTTTCATTTGGCATGTATCTGCATTGCTGTTTGTGATCCACAGCCTTAGTGCTCCAAAAGTGAGAAGCTTACATAAACTGGAATAAATAATGAAATAAAACTCTAGTATTTCATGCAGGCGATAATCATCTTATCTGATGGGGGATTGCTGTATGAATAGAAATGCATGAAGGGAAGAGGTTTTATTTAATGCCAGGAGTTTATTTTTGGAGTCTGCATGAACTCCCTATGCATGCAAGGGGAATGACAGATGCTTCCCAGTCAGACTTTATTCATTGAACGGTTTACACACCCAAGTCTGCAGCATCAATAAAACAAATAAATGAATAAACTAAGCAATAAAATACATTCAAGTCCATGGGGGGAAACTAAAAGATATTCAATAAGAACAAAGTCAAGTATGATCATGACTTGGAGCATGCAAATGATCAAATTATACCTATAGAATGTATTCACACATTAATGATTGGTTTAGATAAGCGCTCTCACCTCTCAGGCAGTCAGCAGGGCTGTGTAGACTTACCTGAAGAGGGAAATCTAGTCATTTTCATTATAGCTCGTTATTAAATGGTAATGACTATGTTGTATCCATCTGCTCACTTTTCTTCATTGGACTTGAATTATCTTGCACGTAAAAAGTTTTACAGCGTTTCTGATGACAGGCGATCTGTGTTTACAGGTCTGCATTTGCAATATGGCGGGGCATCTCGCGATGCGGTGTGGGTCACGCGTGACGTCATTTCATCTGGGTTTTAACAACTACTTTTTTCTTATTTTTTTATTTGCCTTTTCTCTAGATAGATAGATAGATAGATAGATAGATAGATAGATAGATAGATAGATAGATAGATAGATAGATAGATAGATAGATAGATAGTCAAAATATCTTTCTGTCTTCTACCCAACTAACAACTTTGTGTACGGCCACTTGTTACTGTTTTGATTAAGATAATACACCCCTTCTAGCTGTAGAATAAAACAGAAAAAGACGTTGAAAACAGGATGCTCGTATCACTTCTCAGTCAGATTTTCCCTGTCCAAGATGGCGGTGTCATCGCTGTGGTCGGAAAGTGCAACGCTGTATTTTGTCGTAAACAGTCGGGTTTCAATGTGTGTAACACCGGTGTTTGGAGTTTTGCCGACTGCTACTGAGTGACGCTTCGTGACTTTTGCAGCAACTGTATCGCAGCTCAACGGTGTCCACCTGGAGCTCCGAGCTGGGCGTCATGGGGGATAATATTGTAAGTATCCGAACGGCTTGGTATGTTTAATGGTTAGAGTCCCGAACGATGAGGCAGCAGAATTAGCTCCGTCAGCTAACGCTAGCAGAGGGGCTGCGGCCTCCTCAGCTTACTGCCTAAACTTAGCTCATAGCTCCATTTAGGACATCCGAGTAAAAATAAATCACAATTGTTCACACGAAAGCTTCGAATAACATAGATATTTTAAAGAATAAAATACAATCCACTCTCAGCTTTAAGTATTCACCTTCTTTAATTGTAATTTAGCAGAAATCTTCTTGATGGATTTAATGGAAGCTAACTGATGTATTAGTTTAAATTGAAACAGCGCAGATGAACAGAAACAGAAGTAGTGTAATTTTATGACAATGTCGTGTTTATAATCCCGAGATGGTTTCATGAACAATACAGAAAAATCCATGAACACAAATTATGTATTTTTTTGCATTGTCACTGTTGACATAAATTCATGACCCCTCTGTGCTGAGGGGGAGAAAACTCCATGTTTTTCCAAATGATGTGGGGAATCCTATAGAAAAGGGGGTGCTTGTGTAAATAAACAATTGTAGATGAGATTTTATATATATATATATACTCCATCAATTAACCTTTATGTTTTATAATGCAGATCATCAGGGTGCAGTCTCCAGATGGGATGAAGAAAATTCCTTCTACCAAAAGAGAGACGGCAGCTGCTTTTCTGAAAAAGGTACAAAATGCAGATACAAAGGACTGCCACGTTGGGATTATCTGTGTAGTATGGTCTACTACAGTGGAATCCACTTATAGTGATCATATTGGTCCAGAACCAATTTGAACACTACAAAAGGTTGATTACTATATCTAAATTTCCTGATATTTCACTTATTTTTCATTCAGAATATCATCTAAATGCCATTTGTGTGTTTTTTCAATGAGAAAAATGAAATGAAACGGATAGCTTCCACATTTACTGAATTTTATTACAGTACCATGCAAGTTTAGTTACAGTATACTGTGCTGTGAGCAGACCTAACTCTGGTAGCCTGGTGCTGCCGGTGCATTCTGAAGTTTGAAAGAAACAGTTTCATAGAACAACAGCATTAAAGATAACTGCATAGGCTATCCAGGGTTCCCTGGATCAGAGTGTTCACCAACACCGAGGTCACTTCTTGAATGATGTAAAAGGTCAAAGTTTTTGAAACCAACATGCAAGAGACCAGTCTTTTAAAGTGCAAACTGCATTCCTACACTGCTACCCGCACCAAAGTGCTCTTGTACCTCCGCGATGACGCCAGAGTGCCGTCATCACTTTCGATCCACTTATTAATTATTTTTGCACATGTTTACATTCATAAAATGGCCAAAAATGAACACTATAAGCAGATTTCTTGATTACTAGAAACAAATTATTTAAACAGCATTTGTATAGAAATGATTCTGTCCCAAGCATTTTGAACACTATAAGCGGTTGATTACTATATCCGTGATCACTATAAGCAGATTCCACTGTATTCAAAACTACATAAAGTGATCAGCCTTGCTTTGTTTCAGCTTATTTACATTTTATTCTTTTTTTTTTCTCCCATCAACTAAACTGCCTTTATTTACAACATAACACACATAAGTGTGATGGATTTATTATTTATGAACATGAAAACAAGAATCTAGATTTTTATTACACTCTGGGTTCCAGTCTGAACAATTTTTCGGCCAGTTAAATCCTATTTGATATGTGAGATCATAACCTCTCATCAAATTAAAATAAATTGGAGAATACTTGTACTGATGGGTAGTTTTTATTTAGCTGACATAACAACATTAGCTTACAGTTTGTATAGATCATACAAAACTTACATCAAATTATCATTAATTATAGCAGCTATAAATAGTCCCCAAGTACTCATGCAAATGTGCTAAAGTAAAAATAGACCCGAAACCTGCGGAAAATGTGTAGATTATTATTATTAGTGGATAGGATTTGTGTATCAGTTGTTCTCATTTCTATAATTTAAACCAAAAATAGGCCATATTGGCTAGCTTTACAGACAGACTGAATGAAGCTGTGCCAGTCTCTAAAGAAGCTGTTATAGCCGATTATAAAGGCAGAAAACAGGTTGATTGACACACAGAAAACAGGTTATTGTTAATCAGATTACAAAAGATGTTAAAGAAAAACGTATATAAAAAAAAAAAAAGAAAATCTTTCACAACAGCCACTTATTAAAATGTTAAAAGATATATCCAGTTCAATCAGGACATAATAAGGACCTCTGCTGTTGCTGCAATCTGGACTGTTAAGGTTGCAGTTAAGTGCTGTCACATTACGGGTGACTCTGACACTAGCGTAAACTTCAACCTCCTGCGTTGTGATTCGTCCGGTCTGGAGCTTAAGAGGTTTAAACTGCATGCTGACAGCTTTTTAGTATGTTGTTGTTTTTCTTAACTCTCAATTGTTTCTCGGTTTTGTTATCCAAACAGACTGTATCTGCAAATGTAAACAACGTTCCATTGTGTCAAAAGCATTGCTTTCAGCCTTAGTGATGCCAGGATTGACAGAGTGGTTTTTGATTCTGTATTTAGAGCCCTTCTTTCTAAGGAGAATTTTTGCACTGACACAGCGGGACAGTGATAATCCTGGCAGTTATTAGTTTTGGCATTTTACAAAAACACAGATTCTCCTTTTTTCTTACCATAAAGATAAAAACCCCATCAAGAAAAGAAGTGCAAGCTCTACTTGTTTTGTTTTTCTTAGCTTTTCTCTGGTTTGGCTTGTCAGTCCTGTGCTGCTTCTCTGAGCCCTCCTGGCTTCCACTAATGACAGTGGCCTGTGTGGAAATTTCCAATCAGAATATTTCCATGCTTGTCTTCATAGCGGTTTGACAGGCTTTTCTTTTTTAAGTTCAGACATGACTTATCTGGTCGTTTAATATAGTTTCGCTTGTGCCTCATTTTTGTTCATGAGCTTAACCTAAATACTTTGAGTAATAATTATAGCTGTGTTTGAAGCATCCACCTAAAATAGATCAAACTCCTGCAGGGCGTTGCGTCTGAGCCTCATCAAAAATGCATGTATCTGTAGGGCTGCAGGATGCTGCAGCCTTCAGATCAATGGAAGGAGCAGGTTGCTGCTGCTGATCACCTGCCAGAAGAACAACCTGAAACTTATGAGCAGAGTCGGCGCTGCAGCTGGGATTGCTGCTGAAATTATGGCGGATGTAGGTTGTGTCCGTTTGATTAGAGACACACTTTAAAGATTAAAAATATTGAATTCATTTCTTGTAGGGACGTGAAAATTGTTTCTCAAAGCTTCTAATGAACTCTATGATAAACATGTTAGAATATCCGTTGGCGTCTTAAGATCAGATTGATAGAGATCAGGCATTTGTGGCTGTCATGTAAAGCATTGTGATCCAGCCAGCGGCAGCCTGGCTTTGTTCCACTAGTGATGGGGCCCACAGCGTTCTATAGAACAGACCCTTTATTCTCTACCCATCCTCTGATTTCACTGGGAGACGGTCGGTTAGGGCCCTATCACACCTTGACGATTTAGATAGCGTATGCCCGAGGTCCCAGAATCTCCTAAAACGCTGGCATATGCTAAACTTTCTATTTATTTTTTTAATTTAGGGCGTATACATAGGGTACTCATAACGAGTCCAGAGCGTATGTCCAACGACAGCCTAACTTATGCATAATGCAAGGCAGCGTAATGCCAATGAAATGATGCAGAAGCCAATGTCCTGAGGGGAGCAGCAATGTACCCAGAGGTGCTCGGCCTGTATAAAAATATTTCTTTGATCACGGTTTAAACCTAGCTGCTGTTTACCGCCTGCCAAAAAAGAAAAAAGAATAAATAAAAAGAAAGTTTGTAGTATCATCAGATGCGGCATCATGCCTGCTAGGAAGTTTGTTGGTCGTGGGCGGGAACGCAGCGAGGATCCATCACGCTCACCCTATGATGGGGATGCAGTCTGGAGGAGAACCTCCTTTTAAACCAAAACGCTGCCAATACGCCATTATACAGTAGCTCTAAGTTAGAAACACGTTCAGCGGTTGTCTGGAACACGTCAGATACGTTGAAATGTGTCGGAGATAAGTTCTTGATAAGTTACGCATCAGTTATGCACAAGTTACTCATAGGTTTTGCATAAGCTAGACGCCGCGTATGAGCATACGCCGGCATATGTAGGGCTCAAAATTTCTTGCCGTATGTCAACGTGCTTTAGCGGGCTCATAAGTTATACAAAATGTACTTTAACTTACCCAAAGGATGCCAGCGTTTTTTTGTCAGATTTTTCATACATCAGGGATACGCTGGTCTAAATCTTGCTGTGACAGGAGGTTTTATCTCAACAATCTCTCTATTGATCTGCAGTGAGTGACTAATATTATCCTTTATTGAACAAATAGTATTTGGTGTTATTCTTCAGGAAATATTCAGAGGTTACGTCTTGTAGTTTTAACTTTGGTAGGTTTGATAACAGTTATTGTCTCCTACAGGTGGCCAAAGAGTTTGGGTTTAATTCCAATGGCTTTTCGGTTTATCTGAACCGCAACAAGACCGGAGAGATTCTGTCCCAGAACAAAACACTCAGCTTGCTAAAGATCAAGTAAGTTCAAGGAAATCAAATGTTGTTTTTTTCGAAGGAAAGCTTACGATGAGCTGAAATCTGATCACAGAAGATAAACAAGTACTTCTAAAAAAATTTGAAATTAAAAGAATGAATTCAAATAAAGTTATTAGCAATTAGGCATTCGATTTTTTTTAAATGATGTTACTGTATACCAGTGATGCATAAAGTTGCGTCTCCCTGCTTCAGCACAGCTGATTCTCATGATTGAGGTTCAGCAAAAGCCTGTTAATCAGCTAGCAATGGAAAACAGCTGTGCTGCAGCAGGGAAACCTGTAAAACCTGCAGGACAGCGGCCCTCAAGGGCCGACTGGAGCAATTAGATTGATTGCCTGATTGGCTGTATTGTTAAGAAGAGCTTTTGCATCAGTCACTATGTCACTCATAAATTGTATTTAATTAATTATTTTGTATTAATAATAGTAAATATGAGTAATAATGTGTCATAATGATGTATTATTTATTATGCTCCTGTTTATTTCTAACAAACCTTTACCTGGATTTCATTAATGCTAGATTCAGATTCTTTTCAGAAAATCCCACTACGCATTCAGACTATAGTTGGACTTTGGATCTTTGAATTTTCTGCTCACAAGTGGAGCGAAACAAGATCGAAACTAACTTTAACTTTGTTGTCCTCACAATATAATGTTTGGAATCTCACAGAGAACTACTTGTATAGTAGTATAGGCTACTACATTTTAAGTGACACTTTGGAGCATCACTCAGTTTAAGATATATTACATGATTTATCAGGTCGATAAAAAGCACTTGCTGCTCTTGTTAAAAACTTGCCCGTGTTACTAAAGAGGGTCGGATCCATCACTGTATACTGTATCAGTTTATGGCAGTCTGAGCTCACCTTAAACCTGAGTGCCAACTACGCTAAAAGTTGTTTAGAAACGAACAGAGAAGACACTTGGCTGATTAAATATGGTTTAGTTCTCCGATGTAGGATTTAATCCAGAGGGTTGAACGTGTCTTTGTCTTTATGATTAAGTCCACCTCTTGTTAATCTATTGGTCCAACGTCGTCTGCTAGCAGATTCCAAAACACAGAGAGGGAGTTAGTTGAATTTGTGACAGTGCTGTGTTGCCAGTGGCTTTCAGGGGTGATAAACCTGGAAGTTATAGGTCTAGCGCCCCCTAGTGGCTAAATCTATCCAGAGTCAATTCATTCAGATTCTGAACACAAAGTATAGGCAGTATTTGGACAGAGTTTTTTTTTTCTACCCTTGAGTGTCATTATTTCTGAAGCTTAGATTAAACATTTTTTATTAGATATCAATAGATGTATTACTGTCAAACTTTTTGTGCAGGAAATGTTGGTTTTATTTTATGTATGTTTAAATACAATTAAATTAGATTCATAAAATAAATTAAATGCAGCCACTGGTAGGGTTTTCTTTATGGAGATTTTTTTTTTGCTTTTTCATTTTTTGTTTCAATGCTGCTTTTATGTTTTCCTTGCAGGCATGGGGACATGTTGTTTCTGTTCCCCTCCGCGTCCTCCTCCTCTTCAGGGGAAGGAATGGACACGGCGACCTCGCACTCATCTTCATCCCTGCCGTCTATATCATCCTCCTCTTCGTCCTCCTCTTCGTTCTCGTTAATCCCTCGGTCATCCTCTGCACCACAGGTACAGGAGGATGAGATAGATCAGTATCTGGCAAAGCAGGACGGCAAGATCTACAGGAACAAAGACCCCCAGCTGTAAGACCGACGGAACGGCCGCAGACATTTAAATCAAAAGCAGATGTGGAAAAGCTCATAAATCTCCGTTTTGTTCCAGATGTCATCATGGTGCCCTCGGAAAATGTGTGCACTGTGTACCGTTAGAGGTAACAGCCAGTCTTTCATAATAAAACTGATGGGATAAAAATGTTAACAAGCAAAATGCTGAAGGATGCAGCTTCTGTCTTTTCCAGCCTTTTGACGAAGACTATCTGAACCACCTGGACCCGCCGGTGAAGCACATGTCTTTCCACGCGTATCTTCGCAAACTGACCGGTGGAGCTGATAAGTAAGGCGTCTGGTTTTAATTCTACTAGCAGATATGTTAAGGCTCTCTGTGTAAGAGACTAACTCTTTCCCGATGCTAACAGAGGGAAGTTTGCAGCTCTGGAGAACATCAGCTGTAAGATAAAGTCAGGATGTGAGGGTCATCCTCCCTGGCCTGAGGGAATCTGCACCAAGTGCCAGCCCAGCGCCATCACTCTGAACAGACAGGTGCGGCTCCGTGGTTCTCTCCACATCCCAAGGAAAACTGCAACCTAAATCCAATAATACTAATTAGGTTCATAACAATCACTAGACAATAGCAGCTGGAAGGAACAAAACACTTTGTAATCAATAAACCAACATTTTCCTTTTTTTTTTTTTTTTTTCAACCAAATTAAGAGTCTGTTTTAACTACAAAAGAAGCTGCTGTGTTTATATTTCCTTCACTAATGTAGAGATATAAGGAAGCTGTCGCTTTGTAAATCTTCACTCAAACATATCTCGTTGGTTTGTTTCATATTTGTGAATTAACGGGCCATATGTGGAAAAATATTCCATCTCCATGCCTTCCCACAAAAGGTCAATTATCTAAGTGCCCGTTAATCAGAAGATGACTGGGGTTTAGTCAGCTTTTAGCATGCTGAGTTGGTCCATCTAGATTAGTGCAGGAAGCATCTGCATGTTGTAGCATAGAAATATCTGATGGGTTTATTGGATTTTATGGTGATAGTTTTAGTATCATTTGGAAAAATGTGGGACATTTGTGACAAAGTTGTCAAGGTTTTTTTCCTGAGAATATTATTTTATACCTTTAACATTCCTCACTTAACTTGAAATCAGATCCATGATGCTGCAGTGTGCGAGGCATGGGAAGCTGATCCTGAATCGTTTCATCTAATACCACAGAACTTAATCACAACCTTAGAGAAATGTAAAAACTCTAGAATATCAGGCAGGTTAGCTATTTGCATACAATCCAAACCCTAATGCTAAGTTCACACCAGATGCGCTTTGGACAGCAAAAAGTGCCTGCTGCTTCATTTTTGAAGCTTGTCCGCATTAAGGTCAGGCGCTCATCAAGACCATCCTTAAAGCTCCTGAAGCGTGTTCTGTAAAGTGTATCCAGATGTGTCTGATGCTTCTGCTGCTTCTGTGTTCAATGGCAGAGAGCTGCTTTGCTATATTTACTCTTATAAGTGGGTAAAAGGTAGTTTTAATATATTCCCAGCAGCAGCTAGTGTTGGTTGTAGCTGGAAGTAGATGTTGGTGGTTTTATTTGTGGTACAAACTAAACGCACCAGAATAATAAAAGCAAACATATTTTGCAGGCAGGTTTCGACATTTTTAGTTAATTTAGGCGTTAATAAACTGTTTCAGGGGAGTGATCATAGCGATCTGCATAAGCAGTGCTGTGTCTGTCTCCCTGTCAGCTCCCAGATCAGCTTCTCTGACTGGTAGATGTGGCGCATTGAGCAGCAGAAATAAAATTTTCCAGCTCCAGCAGCTTCTGCTTGTGAAGCGCGCCACACGCCTCAGAAGCTTAAAAGCTCATGAGGCACTACTTCAGCTGCTCATGCGTCCAGATGCGCTGCTCCTGCTGCTGCAGGACCTTGTGATGCGCTTCAACCATTGACCCTTCATGTAAACCTGCTGTTTCAATCGTGTTTGGTGTGCACATTGCATAATAGCAACTACTGCTTCTCTGCTCCTCACAGAAATACAGACATGTCGACAACATCATGTTTGAGAATCACACCATCGCCGACCGTTTCTTGGACTTCTGGAGGAAAACAGGCAGTCAGAGGATGGGTTACTTGTATGGACGGTACACGGAGCACACAGACATCCCGCTGGGAATCCGAGCTGAGGTTGCTGCCATCTATGAGCCCCCACAGGTGATGAAAGCCCCACAGATCTTCCCAAACTAACCTAATTCTCTGACGTTGGCCCTCATATTAATGGAGAAGGTTTAACTTATCATTTTGTGATCTGTCAGACTGCGACCCAGAACAGTCTGGAACTTTTGGAGGATCCCAAAGCTGCAGCTGTAGATGAAATCGCTGCAAAACTGGGGCTCTGCAAGGTGGGTCTGCTTCCCCTGCTGTATGCTCTGTGGATCAGATGTGGTTTTCAAAGACATGCAACATCGATCTTTGGCATCAAGGCAGATTTATGGTTGCTCTAAATGCCAGACTCTAAGCTGCCAAATCAGATTTATTGTCTTTGTCTCTCACTATTACTGCAAATAAAATGTGATTTATTCATTGAGTTTTTTTATTCTGCTGAAGCTGTAGATTCATTTTCAGACTCATTAACATGGAGCAAGTCTTGATGCGTAGATTTAAAGATTCCAACAAATGTTTTCACGCTTTAATTTATATTTTTTCATCTCTGCATGCATATTATTTGGTCTAAGATAACAAAGGAGTTGTTATAGTTTTTCTCTCTGTGTTTTGTAGGTGGGCTGGATCTTCACAGACCTGCTGTCTGAGGATACCAGGATAGGAACCGTCCGCTACTCAAGAAACCAGGTGAGGTTAAAGGTCAACAGTGTCACTATGATGCTGTTTTCCTCTGTGATTAAAAAGTTCTCACTCGTCTCTTAGGACTCCTTTTATCTGAGCGCTGAGGAGTGCATCACGGCTGGATATTTCCAGAACCAACACTCAAACCCCTGCAAGCTTTCTAGAGACGGGTTCTTTGGATCCAAGTTTGTGACCGTCGTTGCTACAGGTTGACTGCTTGATAAAGTTTTTTTTTTTCTCTTTATGGTGATAAATCACAAACAAATCCTTCAATGCATGTTATTTCATATACAGTAATGGTCCTGGGGTGGCGGGGTTTCCACTCCATATTACTGATTGCTGTGCTTCTATTTTTCTTACTTCAAAGTTAGCTAGCATGTGAAGCTAAGCAGAGAAGCTCAGCTTGTGGCGTTGCTCTGCTCTCAGTAGTGAAAGAAAACCAAAAATATTGATTTCTGTTTGGTTCTTCTGAAAATTATCACCTGACTTGCATATTTTTTATTGTTTTTAATTTTATTTTAAAGGTCTATTACAGAGGTCAGATCAGTGTTTTTGTTTGCATGTTCTGTGTGCAGGAGGTCCAGATAATCAGGTCCACTTTGAAGGTTACCAGGTATCCAATCAGTGCATGGCGCTGGTCAGAGATGAATGCCTGCTGCCCTGTAAAGATGCCCCTGAGCTCGGCTACGCCAAAGAGTCCAGCCCGGAGCAATATGTTCCCGACGTTTTCTACAAGGTGAGACTCTGCCGCTCACTGTGGAAATAAAGCACTGCAGCGGATTTAATCAGACACATTAGTTCCAGTTAGGTATATTTTTGTTTATCTGGTTTGCTTTTTTTGTTTATTTATTTTCCCCAACAGGACAAAGATAAATTTGGGAATGACGTCACGTTTCTGGCTCGGCCTCTTCCTGTCGAGTATCTAATCATAGACGTGAGTCTGCTTGTTACTCATCTTGTCAATCTGATTACTTTAAGGTTACTTTTTAAAATGCATTTGAAAATATATATTTTTTTAGATAACCACGACTTTCCCAAAGGATCCTCAGTACACCTTTACATCCACACAACGCTTCCCGATTGAAAATCGTGACATCCTCGGAGAAACACAAGTAAGTCGTTTTTAAGTTTCCTTCCCAGCTCTGATTGTTTTCACATCTCCTCAGAGCCTGGCTGTGCTCAAAGCTCCAAATATGGAAACCCTCAAAGGGACGTTCTTAGTGAAGCTGAATGTTTTGTTTTTTTACAGGATTTCCACAGTCTAGCCATGTACCTGTCCCAGTGCTCCTCTGTGTCATTCCTGAACATCGTCTCAGACTTCCATTTGCTCCTCTTCCTCGTCACCAACGAAGTCATGCCTCTGAGGGTGAGTCAGCCTTACAAACCCTATCACTCCTGCTGATTTCCAGCTTTGGCTGTAAGGGTTGGTTTTACTGGACCAACGCTCTTTTTTTTTTTTCTTTTTTTTTTCTTGTTTGTTTTTTTCCTTTTTTTTTGGCTCTCTCTCTTTTGTTTTACTTTTTTTTTTGCTGCACCTCAATGTTATAAATTTCAGATACATCATTTACGTTACAGTCTGTAATTACAGCATTTATCCCCGACTGACGTTACAGATTTTACTTGCTGTTTGAGGTGTTTTTTTTTTTTTTAGGGAAATACTACTAAAATCCTACATTTAAGGATTTTTGATTGACTGGAAAAAATAATTGTCGTATAAATGTCAAAGGTATGTTGTGTCCAAACAAATCATGATATAAATTTTGGCCGGATCGTCCAGCGCTATGATTAGAGGTGTTTGAAAGACAAAAAATAAAGAGAGTGGGGAGGAGGGCACGGAGAATGCTTAAGTCAAAAAGAGAATAAGCTGTGATGCAGTAAACTGTATAACATTTTAATTCAATCTAAAAAATGATGCCACATTACAGAGCTGGGGGAGTTTGCAGTGGGCAGATAGTTTCTATGGACTGAGTGAATATTAGTTAAACTGATTGGTGTAGACCTGCTCTCTACATGAAGAGTGCCCTGAGGTTCAAGACGTTTCTGTGTTACTTTAATCTAAATATATCTCAGGGATTTGTAAAGGGAGATTTGTCCTGAAGTGTATATTTCGAGTAAGATTCAGTGTCAGAAACAGGAGCCAGTAGTCCTGAAGGGATTGCTCCTGTCTGCATAGAAAGAGGAGAGCAGAAAGTCTAATATCCACACCTTTAATGCCCAAATTTTAGAGGTGAGCCATTAAATTTACAGTGTGATATTCACTGGTTTCAAAAGTACACACATTTGCCATTTAAGTAGAAGTATAGATACTGCAGTTTAAAAACACTCTGGTAAAAGTAGAAGTATCAACTTGACCTCTTTACTCAAGTAAAAGTGAAAAAGTATGTGCTCCATAAACTACTTAAAGTATAAACGTATAAATTAACCTTTAGAAAAAAAACAGCCAGATTCCACTATATGAATTGAAAGCTGAATATTTGGACTATTTCCAAATATTCTTTGAGATAGGGCCCAGGATGAGGGAAGTCCTGTTGGTCTCCATCTCCCAAAACGCTCTCGCCTGTGTCTGACCTATCAGACATTTCAACATCTTTTTCTGAATCCTACATTGTAGCATGGCATATATAATTCACGTTTGCAGTTTGAAAACACCTGCTTGCTTCTGATGATTTCCTTTAGCTAACCAATGAGTGTTTGCATTATATGACTCATCCAATTACACTAGTTTTCACTAGATATGGATGGAACCAATGATATGCATTGGATGGCTCACATGACGTAAAATAAATATTTATAAACATTAAACCGAAGCCAAGAGTAACGAGTAATGTTTTAAAAGTGTAAGGAATAGAAAGTACTTGTGTGAAAGTGTAATGAGTAGAAGTCGGAAGTAGGAAGAAAAATAAGTAATGGAGTAAAGTATAGATACCTAAAAAGTGTACTTAAGTACAGTAACAAAGTATTTGTACTTCGTTACTTGACACCTCTGGTGAAAATTTATTTACTGATAGAAATGTTACATATTTATGGAGGTAGACATCTTTGCACTATGGCAGCACAGAGCTGCCAGGTAGATGTTGCTGAAAATGACTCCCTGTGGCTTTAATTATTGGTGGCCTAGTGGTTAGGGCATAGAGCTTGGAATCCTGAGGAGTTGAAGCTCCACTCCCACAGACTGCCACTCTGGGTCCCTTAGCAAAGACCAAGTGGGCGCCCCACGATAGCAGTCCACTGCTCCCCAAGGGGATGGGTTAAATGCAGAGAGTCAATTTTGTTGCTCTATACTTGTGACAGTTAAATAACAATAACAAAGCTGGAAGTCAAAAATGTTATGATGGTAAATTTACAAAGCCCACAGTTGAAAGGGGATCAAATAAAAGTAATAATGGATAAATAGGAGTATTTAATTGTTGAAAATATCTTATTGGTTTAGTAAAAATGCACAAAAGCAGGATGTAGGAAGTTTAATAGGGAGATCAGACTTTTTAAAGACTAATCATGGAGGAAGCAGCTCAGCAACAGAATAAGACAAATGAAGATGAGTCTGTTACACATGCTTCATCAGACTCCTAATATTTCTGCACCAAAAGCTGGAGCTAAATGAGTGGCTGATTTACTTTGAATAAAAGGGGCCCCTGCTCTGTTTGTCTGGCCCTTTCATAACAGGAAGGTGGAATTTAAAACTGAAAACACTTTGACCAAAGGAAGCAGAATATGTAATAAAACACGCAGAGATAATGGAGATGCTCCCTTCCTGAATGTTTTGTGTTGAGCAAGCAGAAGCAGAAACGTCAGCTGATGGGGCACATTGAGCTTTTAAAGTTTCAACAGACGTGGCTTTAGCTCCAGCAGAGGACGGTTAGAGATTAGAAAGCTTTGCTGTAAATATTTCCCACATCTAGAGGTGACTTTACCTTTGAGTAGATGTGATGCTGACAGAGAAAACACCATGAGGATGAGCAGCTAACGTAAACTAATACTGACTTTAAGGTCAAAGTTCACAATGCCATTACGGACACAGCAACAGAATCCATAGGTTTTCTAATGATACAATCTTTGCTTGGATTTTCTCCCCGATTTTTAGCCATATGAGGTCTAATAGACGTCCCAGCTCCGTTCTCCGGGTTACAGTCAGGACAGCTGGTGGAGAGCAGGGAGGATACTTTCAGAGACCAGTGGGATGTTTAACTAAAGAATAAAAATGCCTTCCTCATGTAGAAACTGTCATCGTCTCACCCTCCTGTCATACAATCATGGGACTGGGTTCGCCTACAGCCACTCTGGCCCTCAGGAGAGGCGTTTACTTCCTCCCTTCTTTTGCAGCAAAATGTTTTATATGGAAATTTAATCTCAAGCTGTTTGTCGATCAGCATTCAGAACCGCTGAACGTTGGTTGGTGTTTTTGTTTGCAGGACAGCATCGGTCTTCTCCTCGACGCAGTGAAGACGTCCAATGAGGAGCTGGCACAGACCTGGAAGAAGTCCGAGCAGTGGGCCACCATCGAGCAGCTCTGCAGTGAGTCTCCTCGGGATTAAAGGAATCTGTTAATGAAGACTTTAAAAAAAATATATAGTTTCCCACTTATTCCTGGCACATTTCTCACAAACATTTTTCAGGTGTTTAATTCATGCTATTATGTCTCCATTCGTTGTAATTAACAGCATTTATTATTGGATTCAACTGAACATTAATATTATTGTGAAAATTCATTTAAATTGCTTTAATTTAATTTCTTTTCTTTGAAAATCAAGACTTTGTTTTGAAAACAAAAAGACTTTTTTTAGGGCCACTGTATAAAACCGCGAACTCAACGCTATTCCTGACATTTTGAATTGAAAATGCTTCTTGGATGGGAAGCGAAACGTCTTTAAACTTGGATACAAAGCCCAGTGGATTGTTTATAATTTTTTTTTTTTTTTGGAGTTTCCCCTGGTTAAAATTAAGTTTGCTCTGTTTAATTTAGAAATGCTCTAGATGAGGGCTCCATCCTCTAACCTGCTCCTCCCCCCTCCTCCAGGTACGGTGGGCGGGCAGCCATCCAGCTCTCTGGCTTACGAGGCGATGGGCGGTCCTGCGGCTCCATCCTCCTCCGCCGCCATGTGGTCCTGCCCCCACTGCACCTTCATGAACCAGCCCGGCACAGAGCACTGTGATATCTGCAGCCTGCCCCGCAGTTAAAAACCCTCCACAGAACTTCCACGCTGAAAGTCCTCCCTTCACATGATCCAGCCGAAAGATTCCAACAACCACCTCATCATCATTTTTTTTGTCCAGCTCCGACTGGCTGCTGCAGGCTCAGAAGGATGCGCTTGTTTACCCAATCTTTAAAAAAGAAAGTTGACTTTGACACGATTTAATATGGTTTGTAATATTCTCCCTCCTTTCCGCAGCTCTCCTCTGTTTGGAGCCTCAGCTGTTCAGATATTTTCCATAATAAGTCGAATAAAGCCTGCTGTGATTTAGAAGGACAGCAAAGACCCAACTTTCACATCTTTCTTCACATTTGCGTTCATTTCCTTCTCACGGGGACTCTTAAAGAATCTTGATGCATATAAATTCCTTTGATGATGTTATTTAATTGAGTTTTTTTTATTATTATTATTACCAGATTGTAGCGTGTAACTTAATTTTGATTCTTCAGATCGCACTCTCTCACAGCTCTGGAAAATCCCTCACAGTACAATCGCTCCCCTTAAACTCGGACCTTAGAAGCCTCAGAGCTGCAGAGAAAATCCAGCTTCATGCTCCACAATTTATATTTTTAGTAGTAAATTCAGTCACCAGTTTTGAGAAGTGGCTTCTATTGATAGCAGAAAGAAGGTCCGGTAAGTTTTAACTCTACTGGTTTGAACTTGAGCAGCAGAATATGTAGCTTATTTAATCGCTAGTTAATTTCCTCTCCTTTTGCTGCGAGGTGCTCTAGAAACAACTGGTGCTCGCCTCCCCAGAACCTCCTCTTCTTTTGTTTTTATGCTCCTGCTGGTGTAAATGGGCCAGAATCTGAGCCTAGTTTCTTTTCTGATTGACCTCCAAGAGCCTCATAGAGACTTCAAAGAGTTTTCTGCCTCTATTTAAGTTGTTAAATTGGGATGGTTCAGAAATAAATAGCTACCTAAACTTCTTCCACCTACAGGTCCAGACGACTCGCTTCAGTGCTACAGCGGGAAGAGCAGACTTCTAAACATGAAATAAAACCTTAAATGGCACCAAAACCCAAATTAGAAGTCAAAGCTCTTAAAGGATGCGTCTTTCAAACGTTTTCCTTTAAAGTTTTAACAGGTTTAAATGGTGGATTTGTTCATCCTGCATGTCCCTCCAGCCCAGACACCTTAACCATCTGATTAAAAGCCCTCACTAGGAGATTCTATGTCATGGCTGGCTGTTTAAGATCAGCAGTTTGGGCATTTAGGCGAGTAAATAGGTTTTCTGTGTTTAGTTTTTTCCCTGCAGGACTCGTGACATTGGGACCAATATGAATAAAAAGTTGGCCACAGGTGCTCAGAGCAGTTCTGTCAAACGTAAACATTTTCACATCCATCTGTTCTTTAATAAAGCCATTTAGAGGATACTCTGTGGAAAGAATAAAAGTGCCTCTGTAAAATATGAATAGATGGATAATCAGATTATACCAGTGTTCAGCTAGCAGAAGCATCCAGAATTTCACTCAGTCCCTTTATCAACACTTTTCACATGGTTTGATTTTATTTTATTTTTTGTTTCATTTAGGAATGTGTGCTCCACTTCAGTGGTGATCCAAACTGGAAAAAAAAAAAAAACGTTTGCATTGAACCTGTTTGTAGTTTTCTTAGTTTGACTCTTTTTGCTCCTCCTGCCGTTTTGTTGATTTCATCCGGTGTGATTGCTCTGTCACGCTGAGGGGCGGCTCTAATATTTTCCTTTTGTATTAATCTGAGGGCCGTTTGCTGAGCAAGCAAGCTCTTGGAGCTACAGCCCGTCCTCACTTTCCACTGAGCTGACCGAGGACCCTGAAAGTTGTTGACTTGGATTTGAAGAAAATTAATAAAAAGACGAAAGAACACCACAAGGATTGTCTTTTATCTGTTCGGAAAAAAAATATTGACTTTATTTTGCTATGAGGGAAAAAAAGTTTAAGGTAGACCTGGGGTTCAAGCATGTCACAGCAGCTCTGCTTCATAATACCAGGTGGTTAGAGGAGTGCGCTTGTGCTCTGAGAAGGTTGCAAGTACCTGGTTCGATCCCCACAGCCTGCACTGTGGGTCCCTGAGGAAGACGTTTACCCCCACACTGCTCACCATGTGCCGCACAATGGCAGCCCACTGCTCCCCAAGGGGATGGGTTAAATGCAAAGAGTGAATTTCTCCAGTGTGAGATGAATAAAGTGCAATTATATTATTATTTAACCCCCCCCCTTCATGCAGGGAATCCATTAAATATTTGATTTCTGCTCTGACTTCTATATTCAACGTGCTAAATTTAATCTAAATCAATAAGTTTGACAGCATATACACATAAGGTATAATTATATTAACAGAAGCAGCTACATGTAAAACATGATGGATTTTTTTTACTGATATGTTAGTTAGTTTCCCTAATGTTTTTTTGATCATTATAAGCCAAACATGGAATAGTCGTCACCCAGTAGAGTTTGTTTAGTGAGTGAACTTATGTTGAAATATGCTTGAAGTATCCTGATGATTAAACTTTATAGGCTTGATATAGAAATGCTTTCCTATTACATAAGAATAGAAACTACAGAAGAAATCATATCCTGCTTTTGGTCTTGTCTTAATTAACTGTAAACAATTTTTTTCTCCCTGTTAAGATGCATAAAGCATTGATTAAAAAACAGTTTCTAATTCTTATAGGCATGATAAATACATTTAAATGAGATCTATTTCAGTGGAATTACTGGTGAAATAAAAGTTGAACTTTACAGTGGTGTAAATGAGTGAATTTGTTTCCAGGTTTCTTCCATAGAAGTCTCCTTTAAAATGTAGTCATAGGTGGGGGGGTGTACTCAATATTTATCGTGCTCTAACTATTAACTTTAAATGTGTTTTCATGGGATGGCTTTTATTTAAATGCTTTTTCTGAAATACTCAGACTTGTCCATTCTGTGCTATCCTGTGTGATGGAGACCAGTTTTCTGAGCTCCTTTTCTGGAGTTAACTTTTCTATTACAGGGTTACATTTTGAATATCCAGTTAAATGAATGGCTTTTAATTGGAAAAATAGGAGTACCTGGTGAAAACCAAACCAGAACGGAGATACCAGAAATAAAAAGTCTGGGTGGGAATGTTTACCCTACTCATTTCCTTTGCAAACCCGTTGATCTTGTCATTTAGAAATAGTTTTTTTCATAGGTTCCTTCACACACTGGTAAATTTAAGCATTAAATTCAGTTAAACAAAGCAGTCAGAGTGAAGGCTATCCTACACCCAGTAAATCTCTGGCTTGCAACCAGGTAACATGATCTGTTAACCTTATTGTATGTTTGTAGGTTCATGAACTTTGTGTCATTTGAATGCGGAGATCTTTTTCCAAAGGTGAAGAATGCACAACAAAGTTGAAGAATTTTGTTGCTTTTCATCAGGAGGCATTTTGAAGCTCGATGAGAAAATGTTTCTGATATCACTAATTCTTTTTTCCATGTTAAAACTGATCTTTCTATACAACTGAACCTTCTGACCTACAGCTGTGAAGGTCCTCTGTAATAGTTTGGCTGATTATGTTTGATGACTCCACTAATTCAAAAAGATCTACATCTTTTAAGTCTTTTGTAAATTTCTTTCATATAAAAAAAAAGAAGAACATTAAGTGAGTTGAGGGAAGAGTGATTTGTATACTCTTGTGATCCAGTTTTTGTCAAAGTGTCTCACTCTGGCTATATTTGGATGTAACATTTAACTGCATTGGTTATTATTGAAGTTTCTGAGGTCTGTAAAGTAGCAGTGCATGCATAATCCTGGTTCCTCTGGAAAAATGGGAGTCTTTATAATCTCAGTGGCCAAGGACATAACTTCACCACAGAGCTCTTGTTCCATCAGCATCTATTATTTCAAATCATTGAAACAAGGAATCTCAATGGATTTTCCACACATTGCTGAAAAATGCTGGTAATAATGATCTCCACCTCCAGAAGTTCTCTGACGATTCTGCCATAGTTGGCCTCATCACAGTTTGGGACCACACAGAGTGCAGACAGTGGACCCAGAAGTTGGTGGTCAGCAGATCCACCATCTGATTAATGCAGGGAAAACCAAGGAGCGAGTGGTGGACGTTCACAGAAGCAGATCCCCCACTGACACCGGTGAACATCCACGGAACAGACATTGAGATAGTGGACTCTGACCTAGGTGTTCATCTGAATAACAAACTGGACTGGACTCACAGCACCGAGGCTCTTTCTGCTGAGGAGACTGAGGTCTTTTGGAGTGCAGCGGGACCTTCTATGACTCTGTTGTGCTATCAGCCGTCTTCTCTGGAGCTGTTGGAGCAGTGGCTTATCTGTAGCTGAGAGAAAGCGGCTGGATAAGCTGATCAGGAAGGCCAACTCTGTGATTGGACAGACTGCTGCACCCTAAATGCACCAGAGAGCATTATCACAGATCCTTCCTCCCAGCAGCTGTAAGACTCTATAACCACCACTGTATATATATATATATATATGCGCACTTTCATCTGGTTTGGTCTGCCGCGGTTTCCGTAGACTTGTGAACGCGCTTTTAGGAAATCCTATACACTACTGTTTATGCTCTAAAAACATTCTAAATGACTTCGTTTCGAGTAAATTATGGACGCAACCCACTCAGGACACTTGGAATACATTGGACGAGCAGTATGGAGGAATATTGACACGTTTTTTGTGGACTTTTATGGACCTTTCTGCCTCGGGCACCATAGACCTCCATTATTTGAATGTCAGCAGACAGCAAGAAGCCTCCCAGATCTCCAGATGCATTTGAGATATCAAAAAAGTACTCCAGAGTGTTGTTCAGCATGGGGGTGAGTAGAAAATGAAGGCTAATCATGTTTTGGGTGTACTATTCCTTTAACAACTTGTTATATTCATGCTGATTTTGCACAATTTCCATCTTAGGGCCGGATTTATCAAGATCCAATTTTGCGTGCAGTAATTTGCGCTCGCAAACTGGAATTTTGCGCGAGGGGCTGAACCATGGTTTGCGGGTGATTTAACAAGAGTGATTGCGTAACTGGTGGCAGGTGCAAAACTGTTGGAGACGCCCTATTTAAATGATGGTTTTGCGCGTTTTGTGGTTTGCGGCAAAGTAGTTTGTAGTTTGTACAAACTAGTGCATTAGGAAATTTAAATCTTACAGTGACACCCCCACCCCCTCCAAAAAATAAATAAATAAAAAAAAATTATATATATATATATATATATATATATATATATATATATATATATATATATATAACAAACTTTCGCAACCTTTATTCCCTAAGGTGGTATGTGGCTGAATTTCTACTTCACTGCAGTAAAAA